AGAAGCTATCGTGGCTATGTTGGCAGGCGGGATTGCTGCCAAGGTCTAGTTGGTGCTGGATTGCTGCCAAAGTCTAGTTTGTCCTGGATTGCTGCCAAGGTCTAGTCTGTGTGTTAATAAATCCTTGAAGTATCTTTGTCTCGGCATGCTTTGGTGTATGAAGAGGGGGGTCAGAACAGCTAGGTGAGATATTTAGCCTTTCTACCTAAATGCAATGTCCTTATATACCTTTTCTGTTTTTTAAAAAAATAGCTTCATGTGAATTGACCTATCATTAATGTCTTGCATCACAAATTAACTATTTTGGGAAACTGTCTTTTTAAAACAACATACTAGATGGAAAACATCTTCTCCATAAAGTGCTCCATGAAAATAACTTTTTGTTATTATATGGTTGATATATTACAAATATTTGGTATTTGTACTTATTCAGAATTCAGCTGATTTGAGTACTGTAAAGCTAAATCCACAACTCAAAGAAGCTTAACAATTATTAATATTACCTGCCCAATCCAAGAATTCAGCACACTCTGCTTGCTTATATCGATTTGCAATTTCTCTAGCATTTTCACCCCGGAATGTAGTTGCATAAATATCAGCTTCCAGCTCTATCAGAGTTTTCAGTGTGTTTAGCTGACCCCAGGCTGCAGCACAATGGAGAAGTGTATAACCTGAGAGAACAAACCAAATCAATGTACATAACTGTGCACTGAATATCTGTATACAATACTTTTTACATAATGCATTTCTTTATATACAAGAAAACTCAACTGCCGATTAGCAAACCATCAGATTAATGCTGGATGGTCAATCAAACAATTTTCAGAATGTCATTCTGACTCAATGCTTAAATACATGTTGAACATACATGCAAAGCACAGAAAAGGAATAAGAAATAATAAGCTAAACGAGGTACAATGGTACCTTCATATGTATAGTGACAAACAAACATATACTGGGTATCTTTACAAGCATTCTTTTGCGTTTACCATTAACACATAAACAAAAAAACTGTCTTCATACATCTTACTCTGTTCCCTGTTAAACCATTTAATAAGCATTCCTTTTATTCTCATGCATGCTTAACTATCATATTACTGAATTTTTCAATGAACCTTCAACTCAGTGTTTCTGTAAAATATTCTCTAATCCAAGATTATCATAAACGTTTACTTAATATGTATCTCAACAATATATATCCACAGAATTGCCAATTGTTTTCTGTAAAAACTCCTATGTCTATCAATTCAGTCTTGAGAATCCAAATATTAATACATTACCTCTTTAAACTAATGTTTCTCAACCTTGACATCCTCCAACATATTGGTTGGGGAATTCTGAGAGTTGGAATTCAGGTATATTAAAGTTGTCAGGATGGAGAAACATTGCTTTAAGCAATCAGCTTTTTTTTTAAACCACTGATTCTTGTTCATATGTTTAAATAAAAATGCGTATATGCATTTGATTGATAGAGAAGTAAAATTTTCAGAATGGTACATACACTTCAATAAAGTGAAGAAACAAGTATTTTAGACAAAAAAAAGAGGTTTAAAAAGTTGCTCAGTGGAAATATTATAGGGGAGCTAATGACATTAATGTACTGTAGTAATGAGGGTACCGAGGCTGAAGATGAAAGAATGTAATCCACCCACGGATAGCTAAACCAACAAAAGTTTATTGAACAAAGCATTCCATAGATAGCAGAATCAACANTTGGCAGGAGGCCAGAGAACTCGGGGCCTTTTTCGCCTTTTAAAAGTTAAGAAAGGGTTAAAAAGCAAAAAAAAATTGTATGCAAAGGAGGCACTGATTCTCCCGCCTCCTGATCTGGGAGCAGCGAATCATGCCTGTGCAAAGGCACTTGAGCAACTACGCAATCTAGCAATTTCCATCGAAGGTGATTTTGGAGAGGTTGCTCTGGGCCGCCAGCCAACGTTTCTTCAGCAGCAATTTCTTCTCTGCCCGGCATTTTCTACTGGGCGGCTTGGCGCTTGGCGCTTTTGCTGCAGACCCGGGACTTGGTGGCTCCTGTGATGCAATGTGCCCCGCCGGGCACTTTGCATTGCAGGAGCCACCAAGCGCCGACATTCCCGCTGCCCCGGCCTTCAGCCAGCCCAGCACCGAGTGGGGAGGACAAGGAGGAGGAGGAGGAGGAGGAGGAGGTGAGTGGTGAGTCCTTATGCCGGCTGGCTGGCCAAGCAGGGAGCAGGTCGGGTGAAGGGGTGGGTGGGCTGGCTGGCTGGGGAGGGGGGACATGGCCACTCAGGTGACCCCCGTTGCTGCTGACAGCAGCTTGGGTGTCCCGGCACCATCCGAGTTGAAGAAAGAGGAGGATTGTTCATCGGAGGAGGCGGGGGGCAAGGAGGTGGAGGTGATGGCGGCGAGAAGCAGCTTGGATGGTGCCGGGACACCCTAGCTGCTGGCAGTGGGGGCCACCTGAGCAGCAATGATCCCAGCTCTGCTGCTCCTCGGAGGCGCCCAGGGTCAGCTTCGAAGTTAGTGCTCCATTCCAACGAGGCTACGGGGAATCCTGAAGGATTGAACCCCGGGCCTCTGTCCAACCACCGTGGCCAGAGTGGCGATGGTCGAGCCCTTTGCCCTGGTCACCTAATCCGTGAGAATGGGTCCGCGTCTTGAGGACCACAGTCCAGGAATTCCTCTCCTCGATCCCCCCTCCCAGGCCCTTAAGTCAGAGATCCGCATGCCTGGTTCATCCGGACGCGCAAGGTGAGGGCACGGGGAAATGGAGCTAAAGGGGAGGGAGGTCAGCATGCCTGGGTCAGCAGGGCGTGATGCTCCGGCGGTGGAGGAGAAACACCTTCAATTTCTTCGCGTGGTTTTTCCCCCCAGCTCAGTGGAGGAAGGTGGAAAAGCTCCCCGGAGTCCTTGCTACCCCTCGCCTCGATTCTCTTTTTCCCGCCCCAACTTTGCCCACCTGCGAACTGGAATGATCCCGCTCTCCTAAATACATTTGTTGGGTTGCAATTGTGGATTTCCACGTGCCTTTCTCCGTAGAAAGTCAGACACTGACTTTCAGTGGCCCAAGACTTTTGGAATGTCCTTTTGGAATGTCAACAGGGACGGAGGAGGCGGGGGGGCGAGGCGGCAGAGCGCGGCAGCGGCGAGAAGCAACACCCTCGCCGCTGTGTCCGACAGGCATCTCACATTTATGTCCGCCATGAACGCCAGACGCCTGGCGGACACAGCGGCAAGGACGTTGCTTCTCGCCACTGCCACGCTCTTGCCTCACCAACGGTAACCCTCACCGCACATCACTGTGCTCCACTATCAACAACCCAGAAATCATGGTTTACTGGTGTATTGCTAGACATAGCCAAAGTGCACGTAGCTAAATTGACATTAGCATTTTTTCTAGCTCTTCTGGCATTCTGTTGTTTTGCCTTTTTACAGAATCTAGCTATATGTCCCTTAGCCCCACAAGAATAACATTTTCGAACAGTATAGGCAGTACAATGTTGTGGTGGTTTCTCTCTCAGTTGTTATCTTTCCATCCTTCTTCTTGACTCTTCCAACAGTCGTGCAGTAATGTCAGTCAATGTTAGTTCATTTTGGGTTAGGACTTCAAGAGAAGATACAAAAACATCATAACTCTCATCCAATGAGGAGAGTATGATATAAACTTAATATAGCTCAGAAAAAATTAGTTCTTTTTCATGTAGCTCCTGAGAAAGCCCTTTCATAAAGTTTAAATGAGTT